GGAGTTTGAATATAAGAAACACGGATGACGACGCCGCTTGAGACGTGCCCAATCAATGCCCGCAGACGCGTCTGCGGGCATTTAAGAGGTCGGATTTGCAAAGTCCGGCTGCAGATGCTAAGTATCCTAGATCTCAAGGGTAACGTATATCACACCCATTGCAGCGGGAGACAACGCCTTCTAGTAGTGGAGGCGCATTCACGAAGTACGCCTAACTCCGTCTCGCTCTCGCAGCAACAGAGCCGACACACGGAGAGCTCTCTCCGTCTCTCTCAGCACAGGCGTTCGCTGCCGTCTCAAGTACTAGTTGTTGCCGGCATGATCTCCGGCACCAAGCGCTCCTCCGGGTCGACGCTCGGCACCCCCGGTGTAGGCCTCCTGGTCCGGCCGACGCACGAGGTCGAGGGGAATCGTCCGGCTCTGCTCCTCTGCCTCTGCGGCGCGCCCTTCATGTGTTCGGTGAAATGCCAGCCCGGGCACAACTAAGGCAAGTCTCTGATAATTTGTGTACTATTATATGTGGCAATAAATCCCATGTTTACAGACCAAGAGAGTGTCTTTCTTTGGCACGGATCTAGAAAACTGCAGTGTCGTTTATTTACAGATCCAAAAATTGTAGGGACAGAAGGTGTGTGTTCTGGGAGGCAAAGCATGTGCAGGCTAATCATTTTCTTATATCGGGAGAATTTTGGTTTTGTAGATTCCGGAGTGACGAGATCATGCCTTCATCTTCTTCATGGGGATGACTGCACTGCAGAAAAATTGGATGTGGGGGATTCCCATATCACTGAAACTACAGAATATAAGGTAATCAGCAGATATTTTGTATCTCAGCTGTCAGGATAGAACTATGGCATACATGCACACTGACAAGCAACCATACTACTGAATAAGTTCAATGTGAATCACATATGTTTCGACTATGACATGGTCACAACTGATTATTGGTACAACAGGTGCTAGAGTAGAAAGATAGAAATAAGGTGCATATTTGTGCTGTCCAATACCAAGCAACATGTAGACTAAAATCATGGTGATGCTTTTCTCCATGTTTTTTAAGGGATAGCATGATTTTCGGATTGGACATAAGGCCTTGGGGGCATCTGTAGATTCTGGAACCTCCCTGTCAACATGTTTACCACTTTTGTCATCGAGGGACGATCCTTGGGGTTCCACTGGATGCACCACAGTGCCACTGTGGCTAGTTTTCTAACCTTTTCTTTCTCTTCTTCTGCCGTGTCCCCTGTAAGCGCCAAGTCCTGGCGAGCGATAACTAACTCATAGATGCATTCCGGGAGGTATACCTCGTTCTGGCTCTCAGTCCTTGGGTCTGAGGTCCTCCTACCACTCACCATCTCCAACACCAGCATGCCAAAACTGTACACATCTGACTTGTGGGATATGCCCCCGAAGTTCCGGGAATATAGCTCCGGTGCAATATAGCCCATTGTGCCTCTTGCTGCAGTTAATGTAATGATGCTTTGGTCCCTGGCACACAGCTTTGCTAGGCCAAAATCTGAAATCTTCGGATTGAAGTTGTAGTCCAGCAAGATGTTGTGAGGCTTGATGTCAAAGTGGAGGATGCGCTGGTTGCATCCTTGATGTAGATATTCCATTCCTCTTGCAATGCCTAAAGCAATATCTAGCATTTTTTCAGGTACTAAGAGAGTCTGAAAAATATTAGAGTCGCGAGAGAATATGTATTTCTCCAGCGACTCGTTAGGCATGAATTCATAAATAAGAGCCCGTCTTGTTCCTTCATAGCAAAAGCCCAGGAGGCGGACAATATTTGTATGGTGGATTAGCCCAATAGTTGCAACTTCATTGATGAATTCTTGTCCCTCTCCTATAGAGTTCTCTAGCATCTTGACAGCTACAGGAATTCCATTTGGTAGCTCGCCCTTGTATACACTTCCATATCCACCACGTCCTAAGTTAACCTTGAACCGTCTCGCCATCTTCTTAACTTCAGAGAAAGTGTACCTTGTGGTTTTTGATTTTCCATGTGTATTGAGAAACATTTCAACCTTCAAATGTATCTCTCTGTTATATCTCGTCTTCAGTGAAAGATAGAGTGCGGTAGCCACCATCAACACAAGAACAACAAAGGCAACCCCTGATGATGTAGCTGCATAAATACAGTGTACAGGTAATCCGCACATTGTCTTATGATAGAAAGCCGTAGCTTACAGATTTAATGGGGATAAGAGAATGTAGGAGTGAGAATAGCTAAATAATCTATCTGTAGCAGATACATTTTTTTGTTCCAAAAAAAAATGTGTAGCAGAAGGAAAATTTGAATTGAAGTAGTACCTGCAATGATTTTGACATGTGAACCTGCAAATACGAAAGAAGAAAATAAGATCTCATTGATGGTTTAGTAGTACATAAAAGGCAAAATAACTTTGTTTTGAAATGAAGGCAGAATATCTGTATGAGTAGGAGGAAGTACGTAAGACCAACATTGTTACATGGCCAGTGGGATAGGATAAAGTTTGGTTTTCTAGGAACATCCTATTAACGTTAGTATATATGTAAAAGATAAATGGTCTTTACATTCATCTGATATCATCAAAAGCCATATTCCTGTTGGAAATATAACATGAGAAGCATTTTTTTTGCATGGTGCTATCTCTGGTGACTAACAAGAGTCATTAATGGAGATTGATTAGGGTAAGGTAGTGTGTATAAAGGTTACAAAAGCATCTATTTCTCACCTCATGGTCACCGGTCTGTGATACCGGCCCGCATCATCTGATAAAACTAGAGGACATGTTGAACATGCATAATTTTACATTGCTACGGTTTTGGGTTTTTTTTCTTAGCAATTAAGTTGGGCCCTATGCATATCCATTGGAGTGTTAGGACTTCGCACAATTCTGAAACTTGTAAACATTTAACTACATGTTGCTAGGGGAAACATGCCATTATTCCCTTTATAGGTAGTTAGTCTAATTTGTGTGATTCTGTTGCGCTATGCTGTATTGATTCAGAAAAATATGATAGCAGAGAATCTCCTGGAAGTTACAAGATTCAAGCAGAAGTAAATAACTGAATTATAAAAACTGCAGATCTGAGAGCATTTAAAGTATTAAACTGTGTTAAGACATAAAATAGGTTTTGTTCTGTTAGAAACGATACCGTGAGGATGAGGCACACAAAATGTTTGATTCCTTTGTGAGCTGAATGCGCAGGGTCGCCCATCTTGTTCGCACCGTGTGCAGTTGAAGGCAACGGATGATGACCCTGTATACCAGCAGACTTTCATATCATAAAATCTCTGGGCCTCTTCTTCCAGCTGCCAAAGCTCTGGGCTACCTAATATCGGAATGACAACATCTGAGATGACTCTGCAGTTCAATGGAAGAACATACACGGGTTGTTTAGCATTCACCAAATATGAGAAGTGGGTTGCGTTGCTAAGGCAGGAGAATGGGCTAGCCATAAAATTGTGAATTGGCGGGATCTCCCTTGAACAGCCTAAAAGCTTTCCTGGTTCACCGTAGAGACTACACTGATGGCTGGAGTTGGCTGGTACACTTTGCGAGATGAACTTCTGAACTTTATGGCATGCTTGCACAAGCGGGGCGATGCTAAGTGTGGCACGGCTATAATCTATGGCAGTGACATTGAATGGGCCAAGAAATGGGTGAAGTAGGACAGTGTCTTGGCCAGAGCATTCTATCTTCACGCATGTTGCTCCACATGATGAATTGCTGGATTCAAGTTGGAGCGGAAACCGGATCTCAGGCCCATTTTTGCTGCACCGGGACCATGGGCACTGTTTGAAGAAATCTTGGTCACCCCACACTGTTGAAGCTGTGGCCATGTCGATTCCATGGCTGAGAAGAAAAGCTATGAGGATGGCTATGGAAAGAAATTTAGTCATCTCTCTGTTGAACCGGAGATGGAAAGGTAAAGGTGAAGGCAGGGCAATAGCAAGACAATACAACTCTTTGTATGAGTAAGAAAAAATGACCTCTTTAAAATGGAATATCTAAATGATTGGCGATTATTGATGAAATTAACAGAGCCACTTGTGTTGAGCTGGCAGCCTTGTGCCCGAGGAGAATTCTGGTTGTGAATGCAGCCTCCAGCCGTGTTATAGTGGTCTGAGTGTGACTGTAGACTTGCTGCAGTCCAATCATCAGCGAGGGGCAAGTTTGGAAATAAACAAGCAATTGGGTGAGGAAAAGTCGCTATGTGGAAATATTTCTAAGCTGTCATGTTCAAATGGTCACACTCTGGGTATGGACAGAAGATGCATCTATCGTGGCACCAAATTCCAAATTGAAATTGAATACAACTTGGACTTACTCATCTTGGTTTGCTGTAATGGAGAAGGACATGAAGGTGAAGCTGCGGAGATGGACATGAACGTGAAGCTGTGGAGAATACCAATTTTCAATGCAGCCTCCTGCCGTGTTACAGCTGTCTGAGTGTGATTGTAGACTTGCTCGAGTCCAGTCCCGTCCCATCTTATCTGCTAGAGGGGTTGCGGAAATAAATAACTGATTGGGTGAGGAATAGTTGCTATGTGAGAATATTTCCAAGCTGTAGTGTTCATGTGGCCGCACTGCAGGCAGATGTGGATATTTTCAAAAGATAAATCTATCATCCCCAAGAAAACACAAATCCATGTTCAGCACAATTTGTATTGGCCATTCTCCGAAGAAGAATTTGTCGTGTATTTCCTTGATAGGATTAGAATATTGTGGCAGAATAAGTGCATCTTCTGTAAAGATTGTCAAGTTTAATTCATATGCCATTTCAGTAGCACCTTATGAGATGACAGCACAAATTTCTTTTGGGGTGTTACGGAAACTGTTTACTGGCTTTCTCCTGACCTTTGTGGCTTGGAGAAAGAATACACGTCCTTGATATGTCTTTGGAAAGTGACTGCCACCTGTTATACTCTTGTTTCTTTTTCTATCATAAGGACGACAGAATCGTAGCATTACAAGAGTGCACTTGAAAAGAAGGCAGAACAAGAGCGAACCATGGCAACTCCTGGTGAGGCTCGTGGTTCTGCTACCTTGAAGGCCATAACATTCTTTTGTGTGCTTGCAGTTCTTGTAGCTGATATCCAGGGGCGTCATCATCATACTTGTCCTCCTTTTTCTTGCGGCCATCTGCAAGACGTCCGGTACCCTTTCCGCCGGAGAGGTGATCCAGGCGAGTGCGGAGTTATATATTACAAGCTGGCTTGCACCGATAGCAGGGCTACCATTACGATCAACAGCTGGCCATACTTTGTGACTGAGATAAATTATGCCAATTCTTCCTTCTTGGTTGTCGATGCTAGATTGGACTTGAGCAGCAGCTGCCCTGTTCCTCAACGGAACCAGGGGGCTTACCAGCTGTATTACGGTGGTGGCTTTTTGAGGTCAGAAGGCTCGGAGTTAATGCTTGAACTGGCCCCTCCCTCTTCAATTGCGTTGGCTACCTTTGTGAATTGCTCGCGTGAGGTCAGGAACAATACTCTCTACTCACCAGTTGCTTGCCATAGCACGAGCTCCTCTTTTGTTTATGTGCTGATTGGTGATCCCACCGACATTTTCGCCCTCAAGCCTTCCTGTGGATACCTGGGCCTGGCTGTGATTGTTCTGGAAGGCGAGAGATCGCCATATTATGCAAATTATCGAGATGTCATGGAATCCATGAGAAACGGATTTGCAGTTAGTTTTCCGCAAGATTTTGCATGTACTACATGTGGCTTTGAACAACCCTTGCCGTTGCTCAGTATTGGGTGAGTATTGGAAATCTTGCTTGTTCTGTTTCTCTCACGCACCACACATGCTCACACACTTGGTCTACATCATCTAATTGTTACATAATTAATGAATTTCCTTTCTGAACCTTGGCATGATCCTGCAGCGAATTAATCAGTGGAATGAAGTCTAGAAGATACACGTGGGAAAAGATTTTGGAACTTTTGCTAACTCGTTTGTTTCCTCGCATAACTGGAAAATATGCATATGCAGCAATTCCCATGTGGATTGCCCAGTGGATTGCAATAACTGCTGGTACCTCACAGCCATTTATTATTGATTAACTATTAGTCCCTTTATTTATCTGTTTGTTCTATCATCCCAAAATGGGAAATTTGCAGTTTGTTGATCATCAAAGCTTATTACTAAAGACTGCATAAATTTGCTTCTGCAGTACTATGCAGGTTCATGCTGCCGCCACTGGTGGTATTGACATTCCTTGCCTACAAGTACTGGAGAACAAGGATAACAATTGATGCAGTCGAGAAGTTCTTGCGGATGCAACAAATGGTGGGCCCAATCAGGTACAGCTACACAGACATCACCGCAGTAACAAGGCATTTCAGAGATAAATTGGGCCAAGGGGGCTATGGCTCAGTCTACAAAGGTGTTCTTCTCCCAGGAGATATCCATGTTGCTGTTAAGATGCTAGCAGGTAGCTCCAACTGCAACGGAGAAGATTTTATTAGTGAGGTCTCCACCATTGGCAGGATCCACCATGTCAATGTGGTCCATCTCATGGGGTTCTGCTCGGAGGAAATGAGAAGGGCCCTAATCTATGAGTACATGCCTAATGGCTCTCTTGACAAATACATCTTTTCGTCGGAGAGGAGCTTCTCTTTGGGACAAGCTCAATGAGATTGCCTTGGGGATTGCAAGGGGTATCAACTACCTGCATGAGGGGTGCGACATGCAGATTTTGCACTTCGACATCAAGCCGCACAACATTCTTCTCGATACCAATTTTGTCCCGAAAGTTGCTGATTTCGGCCTGGCCAAACTGTACCCAAGGGATGACAGCTTTGTGCCGTTGAGCGCTATGCGGGGAACCATTGGGTACATAGCTCCTGAGATGGTATCCCGGAGCTTTGGTGTGGTATCCAGTAAATCTGATGTTTACAGTTTCGGGATGCTGCTACTGGAAATGGCAGGAGGACGCCGGAATGCTGATCCGAATGCATCAAACTCAAGCCAGGCGTACTACCCGTCCTGGGTGTACGACAGGCTAACAAGGCAACAAGAAGTGGCTGTGATATCTGCGGCAGATGAGATGCACGAGTTGGAGCGGAAGCTTTGTCTCGTTGGGCTATGCTGCATCCAGATGAAGTCTCAGGATCGGCCGACGATGAGCGAGGCCATAGAGATGCTCGAAGGTGGCGTTGAAGGCCTGCATGTGCCTTCCAGGCCATTCTTCTGTGATGATGAGCACGCCCCTGTAGCTGCTGGTTCTCACCACGTCTTCTCTGAGCTGACTACTCTGTCGGAGGAGGAGGATTTTGATGGTGCTTCTACGCAAGACAACAGCGCTGGTCTTAGAAATGCAGAGTAGTCAGTAGAGTGGGTTCACGGTTCAGTGAGATTTACTTGTTTTTACACTTTTGTAGCAGTGCCGTGCTACGGTATGTACTATGATTGAAATCTTGCCGCTGTACGTGGATGTGCCTGACAAATACTCCCTCCGTTCCCAAATATAAGTCTTTCTAGAGATTTCAACAAGTGACTACATATAGAGCAAAATAAGTTAATCTACACTCTAAAATATGTTTACATACATATGTATGTTGTAATCTATTTGAAATGTCTAAAAAGACTTATATTTAGGAACGGAGGGAGTATATGTCAGATAATCTGGAATTTTGGTGACCGCCTGATGGAGCGGATTAGGAAGAAATGTACTCAATTGGTTATTAAAATATGGAAACAATGTTGGAGAAATTTCATTCAACTCTGAATGCAACCCTTCCTTGCCCATTTAGAGAGTAGGGAGGCACAAGACACTAGAGTTGCAGGGCAAGCAAGTCTCATCCAGTCGTTCCAGTCTCTTTTGTTCACTTGACGGCTGAACTCTTTTTTTTTTTTGAGTTGGGTGCAGAATGCATTGCTTTGATGCTGCATGAAGGAGCAGTACAATCTTCCTTCTTTTTTTCTATGAAAACAACGATGAATCTAGGATAGATCAAATGGAGGAAGTCGGGCTACTGAAACAGAGTAGTAGCAGTGTTTCTCGTGGAGTCGGTTCTGCATTTTGTTTTGCTTTATTTAGCAAAACAAAATCATTCATGAGAAACAAAATGTTAAAGGTGCAGAACCGACTCCACGAGAAACAAAATGGTTTGGTTGTTAGTAGTACAAGGCCTGCAGAACCTCCTCTTGTGATCTCTTGGTGCAGAACCTCCTCTTTCACCGAACCATTCTCTACTGACCTACCAGTGACCGACTTCATCTTCGTACGAGGTGTTGATCATCAGATGCATCTTAAAGGTGCAGAGTTGAGATCCAGGATTCAAGAACTAGCGTATAAAAGCACCCAAAATATGGCACACACATAATGTTGTGTCTAGTCTAGTGCATTACATTTCGCATGAAGCAGTTTAGTTTCATCTGTGCAATAAACGAAAATTCATTTTCACAACGAGGAGCTTGAGGGCTTTGCTTTAGCAACTTTGCAAATGGTAGCAGCCACACCTAGAGCAATACGTAATGCTTCTTAATAGTTATAAATATCAAATATTATCTCGACTGAGATATGCCCTCTCTGACTAGTTTCTTACAACTCCTTATTCGTCGAAAATTATTCATGGCGAGAAAAAGTCACCTTGAATTCGTCTTACTGCCAGTTCTTGCTCATCCTTCTTCGGAAATTTCGAAGTACGAGGTGTATCAAGAGCATCGCAGTACTCACATCGCTCATCTCCTTTCAGAATTATCGTCTGCAAATTTGGAGCTTGCTCCAGCACGAACCTTATAAACTTAAATTGTTGTTCTAGTGATCTAAAGCCAGTGAATTCTAGCTCTTTCAAATGCCAGTTCTTGGAGCCATCAAAGTGCATCTCCCACTGAGGAGTCCTTTCAGCATAAAACTGTCTCGACTTGTCATCACAGATATGTTCCCATACCTGTGTTTGTGCGACCAATTCAATACATATGTAAGTTTTAAACATCTTTGCTCCAAAATATATGAAGAACTACAATAAGCCCTAAATGTTGAGACATCACCTCGATATGTAATATTTCCATGCATTCTGCCGCCAAAAGAAATGTTGCCGTCCATAAAAGGTCGAATTCAACAAAGATACCACGCACAGACAGCTTCCTTAGCTTACTGAATGCCGGGATGAGTTACTTCATTTCATGTTGCATCCAAATCTGACCAGAGAATAAATAAATTGAAAAAAATAAGAATGTTGATTCATCATCATTCATAAACACATACATGATGTAACTCTCAAAGTTGTGACAACACAATGAATGCAGAAAGGGAAAGGAATGTGAATACTTGATGGCAATAAACTGCAGCTTACATTTTCTCCTTGGAAATCCAATGTGAGAGTGTGTATGCTTGTGGTTCCATGTAGAAGCTCACTTAATTTAAATTCGTGTTGCCAACCTTGTGCACCATCTAAGAGTCCTAGTTCTCCAAGAGATGGGACGAAACCAAAGGCCAAAGGGGCATGCACCAATGTCCAAGTCTCACATTCGAGCGTCTCCAGTTTCGGAAGGCAGACCAATTCAAGTCTTTCAAAATCACAATAGATGATTTCTAGAACATGGAGTTTTGAATTGGGTGCATCAATCTTAAATAGGGAGCTGGCAATAGTATCACAATTATCAAGGGTTAGATGCTTTAGTTGCTTACAGCAGTCAAAGACGACATGGTGCATGTCCAAGTTATTGTCAAAGCCTACACTGTGTAGATAAAGTCTTGTGAGGCAACTGAGCACACTTGGGCAGGCACTGAAAAAACCATCTATTGCTTGGGTTCGGTGTAGCATATCCTCCCCCGTACAGTGCGAAAGATCTGTCTTACCAAGAATGGAGAGATCCAAATCTTTCACCAAACCACTCTCGATTGCGTCGCCTTCTAGTGGGCCAACTTTGCACAAGAAATTGTTGATCAGATAGATCTTAAGGTGCAGAGTTGAGATCCTGGATTCTCCTTGCTGGTTAACCAAGAAGCTCCTTGTTGCCTTGGTTAGAGATGCCATAGCTTCCTCCATATCGTTCCCTTCGATAGGGTTAGGGTGTTGAATTGGCAGGAAATTTTTGGCATCAACGCTGAGGTCGGGCAGCAACCAAGGAAGGCGCCTCCACCATGTAGACAACGCACTCGTCCTTGCAGCTGTCCTTAGATCGACTCTCCCCATGATGGACAGTAAAATGTCATCCGTCAGCATGCTGAGTCTATCTTCCTCCTCTGGTTCCTGCGAAATTATGGATCTATTTAATTAGTTACTGAATGTCTATATTCATCTATTCAAACAGAATGGTTTGTATCACTAGTAGAAAAGGGGGCAATGACCCAGACCTGCTCAGCCCATTAGTCCCGGTTCTGCCACGAACCGGGACCAATGGAGGTATTTGCCCCGGTTCGTGATCCCAGGGGGCCGGCCGGGGCCTCGTGGGCATTGGTCCCGGTTCGTCTGGCCCTTTTGGTCCTGGTTGGTGGGACGAACCGGGACCAATGGTCCTTGCTCTTGGCCCACCATCATTGGTCCCGGTTGGTGGCTTGAACCGGGACCAAAGGCTCCCCTTTAGTCCCGGTTCATGCCACCAACCGGGACCAATGAGGTGCCTATATATACCCCTTCGCGTGAGAAACAGAGCACAGTGCTCTGTTTTTTCTGGCCGCCGAGGGGGAGAGGGCTTGGTGGTGCTCTAGCTCACCTTCTATGCACACAAGGTGTTCGATGGAATGCCCGAGCCACACTACTTAAGCTTTCTCCTCTACAAGCTCGACCTCCAAGCTCCATTTTCCTCAATATTTGTCTAGGTTTAGCGGTCCGTCACGCCCCGTCCCCGTCTTCACCGCCGTTGATCACCCGCGTCGATCTCATCGCCGGCACCACCGTGGTGAGCCTCTTGTTCTTATCTTCTTTCTGAAAGGAAAAATATTCTTACTTGTATGTTTAGATAGATACTTGTATTATTTTCTTACTTTTATTATTGCATCTTATATAGTGCGATGGTTTTGGTCTCCGCCCCCGTCGGCCCTCGTCCTGTCTATGATTCAGATGTGGTATATATTATCTTTTCATAACTATTGGTTCATTTATTGTTTATGAAAATTATGCCGACCAACGTGACATAAATTTTATTTATCTAGGAGGTTGTTGAACTGGAAATTCCAACCGACCCTATTGTCGAGAGGTTAAATTTAGTTGAAGAAGAAAACAATTTCTTGAAGGAAAAAATAAAAAAAACTTGAGGAGGAGAAGATGATATTGGAGTTGCATGTTGCGGATGTCGTCGATGATCACAAGATCAAGATGGATGCAATGCGCTTGAAGATTACAAAGATTAGAAAATATGCCATTCATACCGAGGCTTGGTATCATTATGCCGTTGGATCAGTTGTTACCTTGGTTGCGATTATGATCGCATTTGTTTTCGCATTGAAATGTTTTACATAGTTTTAATGTTTGGTTTAATTAATTTAGATGCTCTGCAGAGCTTTATGTTGTTAGATGAGAACTATGTATGTACTTTGGTTTTTATGTGATGATGAAATTCTATTAATTTGGTCACTTAATTATCTATTCATGATGTTCTGTAATGATTTTTGACACACTTAATTATATATAATGCACGCAGATGAACCAGCAATGGATGTACGGTGACAGACACACCTCCGAGTACAT